CAGTTGCCCCTTTGCCCTGTACATGCTTCTCATCTTCCCCAATCCAGCCCCTCTTCCTTGCAGGATTCTTTCTCCTGCAGTCCCTCTGTCCTTCCCTCCCTCTTTCCATCTACCCTTCAATTATTCTCCAAGCAATGAGAAATAAAGCTTCAGTTGATAATAAAAAAAAAAAAAAGAACTGTACTTTAAAAATGTGAAAAAGTGGGATTACATCAAACTGCAAAGCTTTTGCACAGCAAAGGGGACCATCAACAAAACAAAAAGGCAAGCTATCTAATGGGTGAAGATATTTGCAAATCATAGATTCGATAAAGGGTTAATATCCAAAGTATATTTAAAAAAAACTTACACAACTGACTCTCAACCCCCAAGACAATCCAGGACTTGAATAGACATTTTTCCAAAGAAGATACATAGATGGCCAATGGGCACATGAAAAAATGCTAAACGTCACTAATCATCAGGAAAACGCAAATCAAAATTACAATGAGATTTCCCCTCACACCTATGAGAAAGACAAAGAAATAGCAAGTGTTGACAAGGATGTGGAGAAAAGGAAACCCGTGTGCCCTGCTGGTAGGAATGTAAATTGGTGCAGCCACCATGGACAGCAGTGTGGAGGTTCTTCAAAAAATTAAAAATAGAACTGCCATAATATCCAGCAATTCCAGGGCATCTGGGTGGCAGTTGAGCATCTGGCTCAGGTCATGATCTCGGGGTTGTGAGATCGAACCCCACTGTCAGGCTCCGTGCTGGGGGTGGATCCAGCAATCCCACTTCTGGATATTTATCCAAAGGAAACAAAAACACCAATTTAAAGAGATATATGCACCCAGTATGTTCACTGTGGCATAACTTGCAGTCGCCAAGATGTGGAAGCAACCGAAGTGTCTGTCAGTAGATAAATGGATAAAGAAGCTGTGGGAGATATATGGAATATATATATATACATATATATATATAATGGAATATTGCTCAGCCATAAAAAGAAATGAAATCTTGCCACTTGTGATAACATGAATGGACCTAGAGGGTATTATGCTAAATGAAGTAATTCAGAGAAAAACAAATACTGTATGACTTCACTTATATGTGGAATCTAAAAAAACAAGTGAGCAAACAAAACAGAAACAGACTCATAGATACAGGAGACAAACTGTTGGTTACCAGAGTGGGGAGTGGTTTCGGAGTGGGTGAAATAAGTAAAAGGGATTAACAGGTACAAACTTCCAGTTGTAAAATAAATAAGTCACGGGGATGTAATATACAACATCGGATATATAGTCAGTAATATTGTAATAACTTTGTATGGTGACGGATGGTAACTAGACTTACCTTGGGGTTCATTTTGTGATGTATAAAAATATCAAATCACTACGATGTATACCTGAAACCCATGTGATATTGTATGGCAATTATACTTCAATTTAAAGTGAAATAGGACCTTGTAATAATTACAGATGAGGGACACTGATAGACCATTCAGAAATATTAGAGAAAGAATTGCTTCTTTCTCTAGAAAGATCATTTAACTCTTACTTACGTTAGATCCAAGTCTTATCATGAGGGAATCTATTTTCTTTACCAGTGCCCCAGGGAAAAGCCTGGGAGCAGTGGAGGGAAGTCAATTGACTACATTCACTTGCCCTAGTTTGCCCACAGGCCCGCGCTGGCGTTTCTCAGAGAGCTGTGAGCATAAGCCAAAGAAGTCTGTAGGGTGCTTGTTTTTTATACTCTGAAAAGCCTAGGAAAAAGCTCCCGGGTAAACTTGGGATGGTCTGGCATCATCAGTCAGTAAGTTATTTCTTGAATGTCTACTGAGGGGTTACACTCTGCTGTACACACTTCATGCGTTTCCCTGCCTAGCTTTATGAAGTTTGTTTCTATTTACTTATTAAATGCAGTTATTATGCATTTGAAAAATCCTTACACACATGGAAATGAGAAATCAGAATAGGAGGGCAGTGTGCTTCCTGGCCCGATATTTCCTCTGCACCCGTATCCATGCATCCTTTGGGGCACAGACACAGAAATGGTGCTCGAGTCTACAGCCACTGGGTTCGTGGGCTGAGAATAATGAGCAGGCAGTCACTGGCTCCTACAGAAATCAGCAGCTTCTGTCTTAATATTAAATTGATTGTAGCAGGGCGCCTGTGTGGCTTAGTCGGTTACGCGGCTGCCTTTGCCTCAGCTCCTGATCTCAGGGTCCTGGGATCAGGCCCTGGTAGGGTAGGGCTCCCTGCTCAGCTGGAAGCCTGCTTCTCTCTCTCCCTCTGCTCCTTCCCCGTGTTTATGCCCTCTCTCTCTCAAATAAATAAGATCTTCAAAAATAAATAAAATAGATTGTAGCTTCCCTGTATGTTAACTGGAAATTAAATAAAAACATCAAAACATTGTTTCCTTGTTAACTGTCACCTCCCCACTTAAAAAGTAAACTCTAGAGGGCAGGGACCATTTGTCTCATTCAGTACTGCATCTCTAGCCTAGCACAGTAACTAGCACATTATAGGTGGGCAGTCAATATTTGTTGAATGAATAAATGAATCTTACCTAGATCATTAGCCTTTTTTCCACATTGGCAGTGAGTTCCTTAACCATGAATGTTCAACCTTATGCAGATTTCCATAGATATCTACGAGTTAATGATGCACAATGTATATTTCTATAAAATACTAGTGTAAATTTAAAGGCATGTAGATTAGACTTGTTGACATGTAGGCAGTCAGGTTAAATTTTATGGTTCCTGTAATTTCTAGTGATAAGAGATTTGCATATGAGTATCTGACCACATGTGAATATTTCTTTATCTAGGAGAGTCTGTTTTTTTGCTGTTTTGTAGAAGAACCAGTTCTGTATTCACTGTTGGAGTTGGTGTAGGTTTTAAATTCATTAAATAGACGACTCCTTTCCCACCCGGGGGTAGATCAGCCCAAGAGAAAAAGAGACTTATTTTAAGGCCTCTTCCTCTTCCAAATCCCAAAGGTCATGTTGCTAATGCCTTTTGGAAAGAAAGGGAGATTACAGCCGGTGTATTAAGTGGTTACTTTCTGACTGTACGCATGCCCACACATACTTGTGTAAACACACACTTATACCTAAAAGAGGAGTATTTATTATAGAAATTTATTTTAATATATAAATATGTAAACCTTATTTCTAAATCTAGAGTTAATACATCGCCATTGTGGAATATTATGAAAATGAAGAATTCAGTAAGTTACCCATAACCCCACCACACAAATAACAACCATTCTTAACATTCTCGAAAATTTTCTCCCATTCTTTTTTGATGGGTGTTTATGTAATTTTAGTAGGATCGTTTATCACAAGCATCTTACCAAGACACTTAAAATTTTGTGTAAACATCGATTCTAATAACTACATGATACTCATTTTAACCATTCTCTTAATATTGAGATTTGGGCTATTTTCAGGCTTTTCCCCCCACCTTTGGTTTTTTGATAACACAGTTAACATTTTTGAGATTAACATCATTATTCTCTACCTTTATTATTGTTTCCCAAGGTTTGATTCCTAGAACTAGGATTACTGAATCAAAGGGATTGGCCATTTTTGTAGGGTCCTTAAACATGTATTATAAAATCACATTCCAGAGATGTTATGCCGATTTTCATTTTCACTCTCAGTGTGTGTGAAAGTTAACTTTTCCCTCTTTGTGAAAGTTGCTTGTTGCTAAGCAACAGTCAAAAATTACACAGAAGTTAAAATAAATTTTAAACTTTAAATAACTTTTCTTTTCCAGACAGTATATTCTTTTAACATCATTTCAGTGTAGTTTTTGTACCAATATCTTAACTTTTGATATACCCTAGGATGTTGTCCAAAAGAAAATAGAGTGGAACGTCTCTACTAATAGCTGTATATTGGATGGGAAAAGAGTCAGACAAGTCCATTACCTTCCTAAAGAAGAGCTATTTTTTTGTAACCTTTCTTTAGGTTTTAATCACCGAAGAAGTTTTATCCCTCCCAGAGTCCGTGGGTTGGCTCACATATCCTATGAGTAAATACAAATGCTTCCTTCAATTGAAAGCAAAACCAATACACCCTTTACTTATAAAGTGAGTTAAAACAAGAAGAATAATATAAAAACTGAAGGAAGGTAGTAAGTAAAGTATTTAGCTTTCTGAAACAATTCAGATGGGGATAGGAAGTTGGTTTTAAATGGCTTAAAGGAGATTAGGGTTTTAAAGTTGGATAAGGAGTTTGGTGCTTTGGTTTAGGCACGGCATTGCTTTTAAAAGATTACTTCCATATTTGACAACAATTCTAACTGGAGATTATAAAGCAAATAGTCGATTTTAAGACACTACGGAATACAAGAGGGCTTCTTTTTGTTGTTGTTTGTTTATACAAAATGATTGCCTAGAGTTAACAGGCTGAGTCCTGAAGCCCTTATTTCATAATACTGCTGAGGATCTATCACCAGGGAGAATCCAGCAGAGGTTGTTTAATGCACTTAATTGAGATTATCTGAGCTTTTGGTTTAAATTACTTTGGGAAAAGTCTAGGTACAAACAGCTTCTTTGAAAGGTAAACATACTTAACCTCTAAGAAAAAAGGTTCAATTTAAGTTCTTTGAAATTCTTCAAACAGGTAGTAGCACCAACCCTTATTAATTAAATTGGAGTATGAACTGAATAATGAGTAAAGATTAAACCTCTATACATCAGGTACAAGTGTTAATATAATTCTATTGATAGTATTTTCATTATTTTATAATTGCTTGAGAATGCAATCAGGTATTGTATTAGAAAAGCAACACCTGACAATTTTAGTAATTTTCAAAAGTAAAAAGATACTATGTGCTGTTTTGGTTATACAGTATAGTTAATGATAAAGTTTTAAAAATGAATTCCTTATTCTGTTCCATCTAAGAAGCAGGTCATCATTAAAGTGGATCAAGAATGGCATAACTGTATGTATTAGCTATGGGTAAATAGTCAAAAGTTGGTTTAACATTTTTGCCCTATCTTCCTCAGCTCCTTGACCTGTTTATGGTTTGGGATTGGTCTACTTATCTAGCTGATTATGGACAGCCAGCTTCTAAGTACCTTCGGGTGAATCCAAACACAGCTCTTACTCTTTTGGAGAAGTAAGTATATTCTGAAGACTTTTTTGCACAACATTATAGCATTTTGTGATTTAGTGATGCTCGAACAACTAGAGACTTTCAACAAAAGAGAAATGTCTAAATGGAGCTTAAAAGCTCAGTCCATTTTAATGACCAAAACATAAGCCTCTTTCTTTCCTGGTTGTAGTGTTGGTGTAGTTTTATGAGATTGCTGTTTCTGTTGATGTGAACAAAATTTTGTGCATCTTGTCCAATTAAAAATAATAGAAGTTTAGTTGTTACTTTCCCCCTCATTATGTGGCAGATTTTCTTTTAACTTAATCACATTTCATTTTAGGTATTACTATTAAAATTTTCTATTTTTGAATTAAAAATGTATATTATTTTCCCATATTTCAGAATATCTGTGATATATTTGATTGCAGAGGACAAAAGGAACTGTTTAAAATAAATGTAAATTTATTCTACCATGCCATGAAACACTAGTGAGGCCAAAAACAAAAAACAAAAAACGCTGCTTTAAATCTTCTAATGTTATTTTTCTTTCACCTTGTCTTGCTATGAATGTGATTTGCAGAGTCCATAGAGGGTATGTATTTTAGCCTACATTATGGAATGATATTAGAAAATAGTATGATATTAGAAAACTTAACATACTTTAGATTTACATACTAATGCAAAAGCCCCACTTCATATAGAATGTAAAATAAAGCTGCTAATATTTTGTGTAGTTGCTCTGTATTTTTATTAGTACCTATTTTCTTTGAAGTATATTTTTCAGGCATAAGGATTAGTGTGAGATAATTCAGAGCATGCCAAGATATTTTACTTGTGACAGCATAGCTTTTAATTTCCCTTTACCAAGCCTCTTCATTCATATATATTCCTAGGATGAAGGATACTAGCAAAAAGAACAATATATTTGCTCAGTTCAGGAAGAATGATCGAGACAAACAGAAGTTGATAGAGACAGTCGTGAAACAGCTGAGAAGTTTGGTGAATGGTATGTCCCAGCACACATAGACTTGGATTGCACTCAGTGACACCAAATCTGTGATTCAGCGTTGATCTCTAATGGGTCATGATACAGTAATTTGTTTGCAGAATTTAAAAACACAGTAGAAAAAGACACTGATGAGAAATTAAACAAGAAACAATAAAAATATCATTTGTACAGATTTTTAAATAATTGGATACTGTTTTATATGGAAAGTGTGATACTAATTTTTTTCACTTTTAGGGAAAAAGGCAAAACATAATATATAAATCAGGTCAAAAGTCGTATATGAAATTGATTGTAAATTCATTAGAAAAAGCTTATATGCCTCTATGTGTAAGTATTTTTTTCTATTCAGACTTGAATGACTTTTCTGGTTTTTTTCATTAGTATCCAGTTTTGAAATGTAATCATGTCTGATATGGGAGTATTTCACTGTCATTTTGTAACTGTTAACTTTTATTTTCATCTCAATATGATTTAAGTAGACTAAATTTTCCAATTCTGCAGATTCTGAGGGGGAAATATACAAATCTTTAAAGGTCCCTGAAATCAACCTTGATTTAACTCAGTAAGAATGTGAATTATTTGTTCTGCTTGGGTGGTTTAATTTAATGCTTCTGAATATGAAGAAAAGGTGTTTGGATTTTCTAAAGATGCAATGTTGTTTCTGTTTAGCAGGGTTAATATTTCTAACTATATTGTTTGTAGCTGACCCCATTCTAGGATTTATTTGGTTTGGTTTGGTTCAAGTTAAAAGAGAGGACAGGAACGAAGCGGGGTAAACCACTTCAGGTGCTGCTTGTGCTAAACTAGATCGGTTCCTACACACACAGACGTTACCACAGGGGTCAGGTTACTTTCTTCAAATAGCAGATCCCAGTACCTATCCTCAGTATGGAAACAAGCCAAACCAAATGAACTCTGGAAAATCTAAAATGAATGTACATTTTCTTCTGTGTAAATTGCTATGGTCCAAATGGTAGTTATCAACCTGATCCTAACTTTCTTTTCATTGTATTTATGCTGAATATTCCTTTTGCATTTTCAGGATTTATGCCTGTAAGAAACTTACACTTGACTCTGTAAAATAAGTGTAAAGAATTATATGTCCATTTCTTGATTTTGTGATGAAATATTAAAAAAAGGTTGAGCAAGTTGTTGAAAATGCATTGCTGTTGCATCTATTCAGAGCTTCCTGATTGAAAACGACTGCTTCCTTCAGAAAAACTCTTATTCCCTAGTTATTGGAATGGGGAGTGTCACCAAAACAGATAATAAGCATTTATTCTCTTGACCATCTCAATCCTAAAGTACTTCACATTTTAAAAAATACTACATGGAGGGGCGCCTGGGTGGCTCAGTCATTAAGCGTCTGCCTTCGGCTCAGGTCATGATCCCAGAGTCCTGGGATCGAGCCCGGCGTCGGGCTTCCTGCTCAGCGGGAAGCCTGCTTCTCCCTCTCTCTCTGCCCCTGCTTGTGTTCCCTCCCTCGATGTCTCTCTCTCTCTGTCAAATAAACAAAATAAAATAAAAAATACTACATGGAAAACATGGTAATTCTTCAGGCACAATAAAGTCTGGAAGTTAGAAGAGGAGCGGTGAACAGCTAGCTCTTTTTTGAAGACTGGAATGTGGCTGTCCCTCGCGTGCCTTACATAGCCCTGCAGGGCACTCGGGATGTCTCCCTGGCTTTGGTTGAGGCGTCCCCGGATCCGGAGAGACGCCGCCTTTGTACTGCTTGGAGTAGATCACTGTGGGTTCGTAGCTATGATGGTGTGAGATTCACTTTCTTCTGTAATACATACAGCTCTCCTGCCATTCCCCGCCAACCCTCAGGTTGCACTGTAGGGACAGGGACGCAAGAGCCCAGGGGACCAGACACAAAACACCGGAGAAGCAACCAGGTAGACCAACTGGGGTGGGATGGGGTGGCCTCCAGAGTGGGAAGGAACGGTGAATTCAGCCCTAGAGACCCGAAAGGCGCCCCGAGATACCGGCTTCTGGTGGGATTAGGGTGTCTCAGTGAAGCTTTGGGCAGCAATGACACTACCGTCTTTTGCAGGGGCCCTGGAGTGGTAGCTCAGAAACCGGGGCGGTGTGGGGATGTCCGGGAATCCCGACCCCGGGTGTCCCTTGTAGGTGTTTGCAATGCAAGGCAGGCATCGAAGACCTCCATTTCCCTGGAAACTGAAACAGAGTAAAGAGGACAAACCCTAAACCCCAGCCCTTCAACCCTGGAGTGCCGAGAGGGGAAGGGCACCTCCAGCCTCGAGGGTGGGGACGCCAGAGAGCCCGCGTCAGCCCAGGGCGCGGGGGTCGCCCACCCGCGGAGCCGCGTTGCACAGCCGGGAACTTCTGGCGCGAAACGGCAGGCCCCGCCCGAGGCTCTGCCACTCCCTACTCCTAGCCCCCGGGTGAGCGTGCCGCGGCCCACCGCCTCCAATCATGACTTCGCTCCGAGCGTTTTAAATATGCATGGGCGCGTCACGTTGTAGGAATCGGGATCGGTCCACAGGGAGCGGGCCGATATCTATATAAATGTGGCCAGGGTGGGCCGAGTAGAGAGGGAGGTGGGGCGGGGGTCTACAGCCCCGGTGATCGCAGCCCTCGTTGGCAACACCGGTGAGTTGCTCCTCTCTTTGCTCGCCTTTGCCGCTTCTATCAAAGGAGTGCTGACCCGGGGACGAGGTGGGAGGTGCGCGCGGATGCCGGGAGGGAGCGGTCCCGAGGCAGCCGGCGCCCCGGCCAGGGACTGGCATTTGGGCCCAGAAGCCGTCGGGCTAGAGGAAGGCACATTCCCTCGGGGCGTGTGGTCGCAGCCGCCTTCTACTATACCAGTCTGCTTCTAGAGCGACGTCCTTTTTTCCAGACCATAAATCTCGGTTTGGGCCCGCAAGTCCCAGGCCCTTTCCGGACCGAACAGGTGAGCACTGCGCGCTCCCAGCGCCTCAGCTCTCGCGCCCCCGGCGCTCCGAGCCGCCAGATCCCCGCAGGCTCGCCATGTTCCCCTGGGGGCTGAGCTGCATGTCGGTGCTGGGGGCCGCGGGCACCGCTCTCCTGGGCGCCGGCCTGCTGCTCAGCCTGGCCCAGCACCTCTGGACGCTCCGCTGGACGCTGAGCCGGGACCGGGCCTCCGCCCTGCCCCTGCCCAAGGGCTCCATGGGCTGGCCCTTCTTCGGCGAAACGCTGCACTGGCTAGTTCAGGTGAGTAGCTCGCACCCCAACACGGCCCCTTCCTCCCTGACTCCCACTGGACCCTCGGCGCTCACAGTGTTCCCAGGGTTCCTGGTCGGCCTCATCCTGTCGCTCAGGGGCCCGGAGAGCATACACAGCCCTCGCCTTTGCTCAGCTGCTCCCTTGAAGGGACGGTATGTCGCCGGAGTTCTCCCCGGCGCAACTTAAAAGCACGACCCGACACAACGCCAGGGTGAACAGAGGGGTTCGGAGAAGCATTCGCCCTATACCCTGCAAGCACAGAATCAGGAATCAGGGGCACTTCTCAGCCGTGAGGCCTCGGGCGCTCACGTCCCCATTCTGAGCCTCAGTCTCCTCATCTCACCAATGGGAACAGGGGCATCTACATTTCCGTAGGGTAGTCGCGAGGCCCATTTGAGCAAAAGGTTTTGTATAGCGACGCGCCAGCCTGGAGCAGGGAGTCGTTAGCAAGGGGCGGTTGGGAGGCCTGGGCCAGACCCCCAGCCGAGGCCCAGCGGCTCCAGCCTCGCTCCGCCTCGCTCGCAGGGCTCCCGCTTCCACAGCTCCCGCCGGGAGCGCTACGGGACAGTGTTCAAGACGCACCTGCTGGGCCGGCCGGTGATCCGCGTGAGCGGCGCCGAGAACGTGCGCACAATCCTTCTGGGCGAGCACCGCCTTGTGCGCAGCCAGTGGCCGCAGAGCGCGCACATCCTACTGGGCTCGCACACGCTGCTTGGCGCGGTTGGGGAGCCGCACCGGCAGCGGCGCAAGGTGAGCTAAAACCAAAGGGGCCGTTGGGACGTCAGACGTGCGGTTCCTGGGCACCTGTTGTTGGCCAGGCTGGGGATAGGTTTTAGGGGCACACTTTGAAGCTGGCAGGGACCCCTGGCTAAACAGCGGTGGCTTTGGGTCAGTCCCTTACCTTTTTCCCGCTTTGCTTTATAAAGCCGGGACTGGGACTTAAGGGACATTTCATCGCCAATCTCCTGTGTGTGATTCTGATACCAGAATGGTGGAAAGTCAGACTTGGAGAGGGACCGGGGACGACTTCCTGGAGGAGGTGGCATCTGGAGCCTGGATGGATGGGAGGGACTGTATACATCAGATATCTAGAGGGAATGGCGAGAACAAAAGCCAACCCATTTAGGTCGGGGCCGCTGAGGAGAAGGGTACCGAAATCGGCCTGCTGGCTTCTCTGGAATCGCTGAGCAGAGGAAGCCGGACGGGCCGCGGCCAGGGCTGACCCCGCGGGCTCCCCACAGGTCCTGGCGCGTGTGTTTAGCCGCGGGGCTCTGCAGCGCTTCGTGCCCCGCCTGCAAGGGGCGCTGCGGCGCGAGGTGCGCGCCTGGTGCGCGGCCCGCCGGCCCGTTGCTGTCTACCAGGCTGCCAAGGCACTCACCTTTCGCATGGCTGCGCGCATCCTACTGGGGCTACGGCTGGACGAGGTACAGTGCGCCGAGCTGGCCCGGACCTTCGAGCAGTTCGTAGAGAACCTCTTCTCGCTGCCCCTGGACGTTCCCTTCAGCGGCCTGCGCAAGGTACTGCCGCTCTGGCCTCAGACCTTCGTCTTGGGGATCCCCAACGTGGACGGGTCTAACAGGCGAAAACAAGGCTCCCTCGGCGCGCCCCACGCCTCACCTCCGGGGGGGGACCGAGGATGGTCCAGGGTGGGGAGGTGGCGTGGTGTGGCTGTCGGTGTCAGGGCTGACCTCTGTCCTCACTCGCTTTGTGACGGGTGGGGGGGTGGGGGGGCGCAGATCCTCTCTGGGCCGCGCCTCCAGGGATGCGTGCCAGACCCACCAGTAGCTGGCTTCCTGACTTTGGGTCCCGGTGGCGGCCGCCCAACCAGTCAGGCTCGAACCCCAGAGCGCTGCCCCTTGGCCTGGCCTCCAGCCGCCTGGGAAGCCCGGATGGCAGCGGAACCGATGGGAGCACAAGCGCCGCCTAGCCTGGGTTGGAGAGGAGTGGGTGCCGGCTCCCCGTCTGTGGCTCCGGACCTACTAGTTTCCAGATCAGAGAACTGCTGCTCTTCTTCAGATTTCAGGGCGATGGGCCGGGCCCAGAGAGCAACTAGGAGGCTGCATATGCCTCTTCTTTGTGAGCTGGGGCTTCTCACTGTACTGATGCCTTGGTTTTCCTCACCCGAATAAAAATAATAGTTATGTATGAAGGGGCATGCCTGAGGCTGATCGCCTTGAATACATTTTCTGAGTTAATCCTCTCAGCCTGCAAAGTGTTCTTTTATTGGTGAGGAAACTGAAGCTCAGAGAGGTTAAGTGACTTACCCAAGATCACACAGCTAGTAGGGGCAGAGGCAGGATTTGAACCTGATTTCCTATGATCTCAAAACTTAAGTGCTCAGATGCTTTCCCTATGCTTGCTCCCTGAACTTCCACCCTCTTGCCTACCAGCTTACAGAGGCTAATGCTTAGAACATCCGGGAGTGGTCTCTAAGCCAGAGCTTTTCTGGATGCAACAAAGTGTGCCTTCCTCTCTACACTGGTGCCCACTGCCCCTGCCTGAGTCAGTGCAGGGAAAGGGCAATGGGCTGACTCCACCTGACTAGGCTCTGTGCCAGGCCTGGGCACTCAGAGCTGTGTGACTCTGGGCAATTGCTTGACCCCTCTGAGCCTCAGCATCCTCCTCTCAGGATGACAGTAACTGCTTGCTTTGCCTCAAAGGTGGAATGTGATAATCAAGAGAGAATTATGTGTAGCGATAGTGGATAAGTTCTTGAGCATTCACTGAGCCCCTACTATGTGCCAGACATGGGGTTAAGTTGAGAAGCCTGACACCTGGATCTCAGCAGAGCCATGACAGCCCCAGGAAGATCTGGGGGGTAGGTGTACAGGCCTAGACCCCTCAGCCTTCCTGCCCCACCTCCCTTTTCTCCCCACGCATCAGGGCATCCGGGCACGAGATCAGCTGCATCGGTACCTGGAGGAGGCTATTGCAGAAAAGCTTCATGAAGACAAGGCTGCAGAGCCGGGTGATGCCCTCGACATGATTATCCTCAGCACTAGGGAGCTGGGCCAGGAGCTCTCAGTGCAGGAGCTGAAGGTAGGTGGTGGGAAGGTTCTACTTTTCTGCCTTTTGCATTCCTAGCAGGTCTCCATACAGGTACTGCATCCTGCCCCCAGCAGGGTCCTGTTCGGCCCCACTTGAGGGAAGTGTGGAAGACATGAATCCCAGGCCCTTGCTTACAGGTTCTGGCCACAAACAGCTCTGCTTCCCCCCCCCCCCCTTCTCTGTCACTCCATGCCTTTGCCTCTGCTGTCCCCCCTGTGTATGAGGCCCTATCCACTCCTTTTCCCTACAGACCCTAAGGGCTCAGGATCAAGCTCCACATCCTCCCAAAATGGACACTGTCCTTCCATGAGCCATCTTGTCACCTAGCACCTTTAACCTCTTTGCCACTGGAGGTCTCCCGTGAGAATTAGAGCCCCTCCCCATTTATGTGTAGAGCACAGGCAGTGAAAGAAAGGAGAACTGCTTTGGAATGGCCCCAGGACCTGCTGGAGAACCCAAAAAGGAGTGGAGAGGCTGGGGGTGTAGGGGAAGGTTAGAAATGGGAAAACTTCAACCCTTCCAAAAGGAACTCTCAGCCTTTCTCTGGGCCTTAATGTCCCACTTTCCAAGAGCCATGAAGGGTAGGGCTCAGCCTTAGTTTCTTCTTTGAGTATGGGGCTAATAGTCTTTATCCTGACTCCTGGGTGATTATGAGATCTGGAAGAATCCAGGGGGTTAAAGTAGATGAGCTCATGAGTCCTGGGAGAGCCCCTGGATAGGAACAGTTCTCGGCTGTGAAGGGGAGTGCTTGACAGGGCTGGGGAGGGGATGACAACACCCTCCATGTCAGGAATCTTCAGTTCTGGTCTGGGCCTCAGGGGCAGGCCAGGCAGATGAGGCCTAGCCAGGAAGGACGTTGGGGCTCCCATGTTGTCCAGGGCAGGCAGTTAGAGTTGGACCAGGTCATTCATTCCAGAGACATTATGATGTATCTGTTTGGTGCCAGGCTCTATGCTGGGACTGAGGATATAGCCCTGAGCAAAACACAGCCCCTGCCCTGGAGGTGCCAGAGGGGAGGGGTATACATTCATCCTACGATCACAGAAATCAATATAGAAACACAAACTGTGGGTGCCCCCAGGAGCTGGGAGGGCAGAGGGAGGCAGTGAGGGTGAGGGCTGGTGCTTGGAGGATGAAGCCATCGGGCCCCTCCTCTGTCCTTCTTGGTCAGTGCAGACCGGGAAGAGGTTTAATCACTCCCTGGACCACTCCACTAAGCGGGAGGAGGAGGCCATGCTGCCGCCTTTGCTTGGAGGCTGGCGGCTGCTGCAGGTGCCTTCCTCGTCCTCCCGCCCCCATCCCAGGTCACGGTCAGGACGCCCAGCAAGGGTTGCAGGCGGCACCACCAGGTGGTTAGGAGCACTGGACTCTCGAGCCCGACTGCTGGGACCCCCCCCCCCCCCAGCGCCTCGTGGAGCCTCAGTTTCCACCCCTGTAAAACGAGGGCACTAATTGTGCCTCACAGGGTTGGGAAGAGAACCGAAGGAGTTAATACATGTAAAGCACTAAGAACAGCATACAGAGTAAGCTCCTAGCGCTGTGTCTGGGAGCCCTTCCAAAGATCCTGGCTTTGGTCGTGGCCGTATGTGGCTTTCTCGAGTGGCTGACTTGGGATTCGATCGACCCCGGGCCCGCGCACGGAGCCGCCACTCTGGCTTCCGCGCACAGGTAAATTTGGGCCCGTTGCTTCGCAGCCATGGGGCCGTGAGGCCTTGCGGCCGGAGCCCGCTGCCGCAGACTCAGCGCCGCCCCGGCTGTCTTGCAGGAGACGGCTGTGGAGCTCCTCTTCGCCGCCTTCCTCACCACGGCCAGTGCCAGCACGTCCCTCGTCCTGCTGCTCCTGCAGCACCCGGCGGCCGTCGCCAAGATCCGGCAGGAGCTGGCGGCGCAGGGGCTGGGGCGCGCGTGCGGCTGCGCGGCGGGGGCCGCGGGGGGCGGCGCGGGGCCCCGGCCGGACTGCGGCTGCGAGCCCGACCTCAGCCTCGCGGCGCTGGGCCGTCTGCGCTACATCGACTGCGTGGTCAAGGAGGTGCTGCGCCTCCTGCCGCCGGTGTCCGGGGGCTACCGCACCGCGCTGCGCACCTTCGAGCTCGACGTAAGTGCGCGCGCCCGCCCCGCCGCCCGGCCCCCGCCACCTGCCGCGGGGAGGGCGGGGCCGGGGGGGGATTAGGACGGCGAGGTCGCCTCTTCCCCTCGGAGCCTTCGCGTTCCACCCATGAAATGGGCTGAGCTCGGCCCCATTCGCCCCCGGATACACAGCTGAGGGGCGCAAAGCCTGGCGGCTGGCGAGCCGACAAGGCTAAGAACAGGCTTTCGGCAGCGGTGAGGGTCAGTCAATTCAATGAGAACTGAGGTTTATTTGTTTTTAAGATTTTATTTATTCGATTGAGGGAGGGAGAGAGAGCACAAGCGGAGGGGCAGAGGGAGAAGAAGACTCCCCGCTTAGCAGGGAGCCCTACGCGGGGCTCAATCCAGGGGACTCTGGGATCGTGACCTGAGCGGAAGGCAGACGCTTAACCGACGGAGCCACCCAGGCGCCCTAGAACTGAGTTTGAGAATAAAAACATACTTTTCTCCGCGCAGCACCGCCCCCCCTTAGCTAGTGAGTGTGGGTGGGGAACAAGGAGAGCCCCCCCCCCGTGTCCCGTACCCCACTCCCCTACTTCCTCACAAGCTCAAGGGACCGGTCATTGTTACCCCGGCTTGTCTCCATCTATAAGACCTTGGGCAATTCCCTCCTCACTCTGGATCTCAGTTTACTCTCTGGAAGGAAGTGGTCTTGGTCCCTTCCAGCTCTGACACATCAGTCAGGTGGTGCCAGGGCCGTGAGACACAGTGGCAACGTCAGAGAGTGGAGTCCTCCTTTGCCAAACTGAGGGTGTTTGCCTGAATGGCTGTCACTGCAGGCAGAGACTGGGCACCTCCTTCCCGGAGCCTTACTTTACACAGTGAACGAACATCTGTGGTGCATTGCATACCAGGGGTCCACTGCACAATAGCGACTGGGATTCTACCCTGGAGGAGTTGGTGGCGGGGAGAAAGGAGGCCAGGACCGATAGTTTCATCCCAAACTGGTGTGAGGAAGATAGTGGTCGTTAGTGCTGGATAACACCGAAACATTTTAGGGGCTGACATTTGACATGGAGCAGTGAAGGGTTAGGATGGGGACAGCACAGCAGCCGAAAGGGGACCATCCAGATAAAGGTGGGTGGATTTAGTGAGGTGGTTAGAAGTGTCTTGGATGCTGCATCTTGGAATTCAGACTTCATTCTACAGTCTAAGGGAAACAGAGGAAGGAGAGCACAGGTCCACCAGGGGGAGCAGAGAGGGAGCCATCCTCCAGTTTACAGATGGGAAAACTGAGGCCTAGAGAGGTGAGAGAACGCGCGCTCCTTGTTTAGGCTAGGGAAGCAGGATAATGGCGGGGGGGGGGGGGGGGGGCGTTGGAAGACACATCAAAAAGTAGAATAGTTGAAAAACCTGAAGGTGGGTATAGGAAACATGAAAGCTGCCTTCCAACATTTTAAGGATGCCTGGTTTTAATTCCCATGTGCATCTTAAAGTGTGGCTGCCAGACCTAAATATTATTGTACAACTAATGGATGGGGGTGTTGGTGTTAGAGAGTCAGTTTCAGTTCAGTGCAAAGAAGAGCTTTATAATTGAGCTGACCATAGAGGAATGAGGGTCCCTGTCCTTTGTGTTGTTCCCGCCCAGGCGGAGGGTAGGTGCAAAACTAGAACTTAGGTCTCTTGATCTAATGTCAGAAGAAAAAAAGACAAAAACAAAACACTGAAACACAAACAATAGATTACATTTAGTGATCATTAATATATATGCCAGACCGTTATCCTAGTCTCAAGACAACAAAACGGGCATTTTTGTTCTTATTTTATCAATTAAGAAACTGGAGGTCAGAGAGCTTGAGTATCCAGCCTTAGGTCACACAGCTCGCCAGAGAAGGAGCTGAAATTGGAACGCAGAGCGTTCTCCTAGCTTGCGGGTTAGGCGTGCGTTCCTGCAGCCCCCGGGGTGGAGGGTGGGTTCAGGACCCGATTCCAAGTGCCTCGTAGTCAGGCGGGTTTCCTCACTTCCCCGCAGGGCTACCAGATCCCCAAGGGCTGGAGCGTGATGTATAGCATCCGGGACACGCACGAGACGGCCGCGGTGTACCGCAGCCCGCCCGAGGGCTTCGACCCGGAGCGCTTCGGCGCGGCGGGGGAGGATGCGCGGGGCGCCTCCGGCCGCTTCCATTACATCCCCTTCGGCGGCGGAGCGCGCAGCTGTCTCGGCCAGGAGCTGGCACAGGCGGTGCTCCAGCTGCTGGCGGTGGAGCTGGTGCGCACGGCGCGCTGGGAACTGGCCACGCCTGCCTTCCCCGCCATGCAGACCGTGCCCATCGTGCACCCGGCGGACGGGCTGCGGCTTTTCTTCCACCCGCTCGCGCCTTCGGCAGCGCGAGATGGGCTACGCCTCTGACCCGCTGCGCTTCGAGACAGGACTTGGCCAGTGGCGGAGGCGCGCTGTCAGCGCCGCCCATCTGCGGTTTCTTAGTGCCGGGTCGGGCGCTCGTTCAACAAACGGTCACCGAATGCAGCTCTGTGCCAGACTTCGAGGGAGGAGGAGCGCGGGCCGGAGCCACGGCGCCCTGGAGAAGCGCCCAGGCCGGCGGGAAGGTGCCTCCTGCGCTCTGCGCCGCGAGGAAGGAAGGGTCGTGAGCCTAGCCTCTTAAGCCTTTCCCAGTATCTCCAGGCAGAGATGAAGGGAACAGATCTTCACCAGGAGTTGCGGGGCCTCGCCCTCCGGCGCCAAGCCCGGGAGGTTGCCTGGATCTTGGGGTGGCGGGGAGGATTGCTAGGGCAGGATTGGACGGCGCCAGAGACCCAGCGGACGCGGCTGGACCTGCAACCCTTAGGAGGAAGCGTATCTCCGGCCTGGCCTTGGGCCATAGTAAGACACACCGAGAAGGCGCCCAGCGGAAGGCCCTCAGGCAGCTGACCTCGGCTTGGTGCGCTGAGGCCACTCTGCTGGTCTCAGTCTCGGCGGAAACTCAGAACTCTGGGCGCTTCCAGGGTTCTAAATGGCTCAACATCACTGATTCTGCTGGCGACTTCGTAAAAGAAAAATTCCTACTTCAAGAACGCGTTTAATCTTCCCATATATACAGGGGAGAATGGGCACGGAGAGATGTCTCTAAGGTTGGATTATTTTCATGGGAGGTTGAGACATAATCAGAGAGGTTTGGGATATTTCTACCCAAAACAGGAAGGCCAAGAAAAAAGTTTCCTGGCAGCAGTTGAGTGAGGAGGCTAGGGCTTAGCTGGGCAGCTGCTCCCTGGTGGGAAGGTGTGGGGTAGGGGTTGGAGGATACCCAGGAACCCCCCCCCCCAAGAGTATGCCAGAACTTTCCTCCTGAGCAGATCCCAAAAGCTGGGCTGAGAATTATGCCTGTGATAGTTGGCTGCAGAACCCTTCCAGTTTACTACCTCCACCTACGCCACTGCATAGGAGAAACAGGCAGAAGACTCCCCTGAAGAGCTAGCAATGGGCTCCTGGACTCCTTGGCCAGTGCTGTCCTCCACCTCATCACTTACTCCCTGCTCCAGCCTCTGGGCCTGTGGCCACTATGTAGGGCTCAGCCCTTTGTCCTTTCATGGTGATCCCTAGGTTGGCTTAAGGGCTCCAACACAGAGGTTTCCACCAGGGTTTAAATCAAAGCCAAGAGCCTCCAGCGTCACCATTCCCAACAGCCCAGTGCAACCTGCCACCCATCTTCAGACTGGTCAGCTGGACATGATGGGTGAGCCAGGGAAGTTGCCGCCCAGGCCCGGAGCTGACCCCTTAGTGAACCAGAAGGAAGCTGGTGCCCTCCTGACCTTATGCTTAAGGTGGATCCCCGGGGCCAGAGGGAAAGGGGGAAGCAGCAGGCGCACGCAGGGTCGGTAGCTCAAGAGCTCAGCGGGCCCTTCCGAGCTCGGCTGACACTGCCATAACCCCCATCCAGGGCAATTCATCACCCACTGCTGACCACAGACCCGGCGCCAGGCCCTGGGCTTGGCAGGCACTGGAGCCAGCAAAAGTGGCAGAGTTGGAGCCTGCCCTCAGGGCGCTCCTGAGGCTGCAGAGACCACATCCGGGCTGAGAAGCTCCCACGGGGGGGGGGGGGGGGGGGGCAGGAGGACCAGGGCCTGGGGTTGATTCTGATTGGGGGGGGGGCAGGAGGACCAGGGCCTGGGGTTGATTCTGATTGGGGGGGGGCAGGAGGACCAGGGCCTGGGTTTGATTCTGATTGGGGGAGAGAAGAGCAATATGGGGAGGAGGTTTTCAGAAGTCCCCATGGTGTAGGTGGTTCCAAGAGACTCGGTTTACCTGGTCTGGGACCTGTACTGACTATAAGCTCCAGTAGGGGCAGCTCCAATTTCCCATTGATAATATCCTTTTCAGTAATTTCAGGGAACACCTGAACTCTTACTGAGTAGCTCCAGATTTTCTGAGGAAGCATTCTGGTTCTTGCCCTCCTGGACCACATATGCTTAGGAAGGAGGTGGACAATAAACTAGCAAACAAAGAGCACCAGAATGCAGACTGGTGCTAAGTGCTCTCAAGAGAGTAAGACAGGTCTGTAAGACACCGTACCTGGGGGCTGAACCCTGCAGGGTGGGAAGGGGAGACCTCTGTGAGGAGGTGACATTCAACTTTGGAAGGAACCAGCCAGCGGTGACCTGGGAAAGGTGCTCCCCAAGCAGAGGAAACAGCAGGTACAAAACCCTGCGCCCCCAGACCGGAGTGAGTGCTCAGGAGGTAGGAAAGGGTTGGAGGGGAAAAGGTGGAGGAGGGGTGCTTCTGCTGCCAGAGCTCACCTGACTCCGGTCTACCTCACTCCCTTCCTCCAGCAAAAAACTACTCTCCACCCCCAACCCTTCGCAACAGGGAGGCTGTTTTGTAAACATCTTGGAAATATTTTGTTTTCCAGTGAACCAATCCTCCTCCCCGCCCACCACCACCCAAGAAAGCTTGGCAAGTTTTCTAATCAAAGTTCTTATCGGGCTGATAATTTATTGACCCCTTCCTCCATTCGAGATGTTCTTTAATGATCTCCACTCTCACATTTAATCCTTTCCTGCCGGACGCCCCCGCTGGACGCCCCCGCGGGTCTCGATGGGCAGACTTATTAAAACAACCCCTCCCCTCCCCCGGCAATTTCCAGCACGCAGGCCCCACTCATCTTGTGACCCGGCGCGCGCTGAACTTGGCGAGGTGGCCCTGCCGAGTTCACTCGGATGTCACGGTCCGGCCTGCAGGGGTCACAGGCAGGTCAGGCCAGAGGATTGGGAATGGGCCCCAGGTCACGCCCCCGCTCGCCGGTTTTGCTCACCGGCCGGAGCAAGGTTTCGAAAGGGGCGGGCGCAGGATTTCTGAGAATTACTTCTAGCGCGTCTCGCCGAGTTCCCGCCGGTGCCCCGAAGTTGGCCCGCACCATTTACAGTCGCCGAATCGTGAGAACAAATGACAGTGGGAGAGACCCTTCTCTAGAGCCTCTGAAACGCCGAGTTCCAAGCAAGCCCTATGGCGACTCCGGCTTGGAGCGCTGCGTGGACTGCGCGGTCCCTACCACTCCACAGACATTTTCCAATCCCGCCAGCTTTGGGGACCACCGCGGGAGGGCCACGTATTTAACAGCTCTTAGGATCAAAGAGTTTCCCATTTCCAAGGGACGCTTTCCAAGGCGTGCGGCGGGCTCCTGCAAGAGCCGGGGTTTAGTTTTAAACAAACGTACTTCATTCTGTTTCGTTTTCGGGGCCGCGGGTGCGTTCGGCGCTCCAACCAAGGATGCGTGTGGGCCGGCCAGGTGGGAAGTGGGGTGCGCACGTGCACTTCCCGCAGTGTCCGAGCTCCCCGCACTGGCTGCAGTAGCAGCTGACTGCAGTTGGGCGAAGGCCAGCCGACCTGCTTCCCAGTATGGATTCCCTCAACACTCCCATTAGGGGCGGGCAGAGGTCGGGTTGAGGGTTGAGCACCCCAATCACCTGGGTGGCTTCAGTGGGTGGGAGCCGGGAGAGCGGAGGAAGGCTCGTGGGCCCCGAGTCCAGGTCATCCGGGTGAAGCAATCTAGCGTGTGCGGAGCCGGGAAAAAGTATCTGCAACCAGGGGCCCCTTTCGAAAACTCACAACTGCCCCCGGGTGTAGACAGATCGGGGAATTACCGCCTCCATATGAGGGAGAAGGAAACAAGCGCAAGGATGTGTGGTGACTTGCTCAAGGTCATGCAAGTAGAGATGGAGCCAGTCCCGGAGTACAGACTCCCAGGTTTTCCTTCCTCTGTCTCTGTCACCTTATCTGCCCAGGTCTAAGGATCCTCTCGCCCTCTGCCTAGGTGGGGCTGTGAGTCCCAGGGCCCTCGGAATCCGGCCGGCCGCAGCCGGTTCGCAGAGCGCTGGCTGCCTCGAGGTGGATGAATTGCCCCAGCGGTCTCCCACTGGGGCGTCAGAGTTGGGGCTGAGACTTGTGCAGGGTTGCACCTAAAGTCCCGAGGGACTTGGAGACTCTCTTGTACCCTTAAGTCGGACCTTCCAGGACTTCATGAGTGCTGGCCTCCTTGAGGGCCTTGGGGAGCTGGGATCCATGATCCGTGGATCAGGTCTGACTCTCCCCCCACACCCCCCGCTCTCGCTTAGGTCGTGGCCCTGGGCTCTTCGGCGGGCTCTTCGGGGGAGTGGGTTTGCGTTTTGCTCTGCGTTCTGGACCTCAGTTTCCCCAGTGTGGGACCCGGCAGCTAGTCGGTTCCTGAACGCACTTCCCTTTGCTTCCCCTGCAGGTGGAAGGGAGCCCACGCGGCGCCTGAAAATGGAAAGCCACTGAAGGCAGCTCTGGGCTGGGACCGCCCGTCGGACCCGGCGGGGGGGATTCCAAAGAGACCGCCAGGAAGCCCAGGGCTTGGAGTTCCCGCTCCCCGGAGCCCGGGTCGGCCTCTGCCGCCGTCTCGGAGCTCCGCACACCTTGTAAGGGGGAGGCAAGCTGCTCGTAGCCCCGCACCCCAGGAGGCGCGCTCCGAGTGAAGCCGCCACGGTGCCGCCTCTGCCTCGGCGTGGAACAAACGGTTAAAGATTTTGGGCAGCGCCTCGCGGGGGGAGGAGCCAGGGGCCCAATCCGCAATTAAAGATGAACTTCGGGTGAATTAATTTGTCTGACCAAGCTAACGTGAGCAGCAACCTGGGCCGCCTATAAAGCAGGCGCGCGGCGGGGTTCGGAGCGCTGGCGGCGGCGGCAGGTGGCGCGGGAGGCCGCGACGCGCCATGGGGCTCCCGGCGCTGCTGGCCAGTGCGCTCTGCACCTTCGTGCTACCGCTGCTGCTCTTCCTGGCCGCGGTCAAGCTCTGGGACCTGTACTGCGTGAGCAGCCGCGACCGCAGCTGCGCCCTCCCTTTGCCGCCCGGAACTATGGGCTTCCCCTTCTTCGGGGAAACACTGCAGATGGTGCTACAGGTAAGGGAGCTTGGGCGCGACGGGACGAGTCTCAGGAGCCCCAGTCGGCTCCGGGCTTCCATGAAGCCGGGGTAGGCGTCCCCGCGAGGGAGGCGACTACGGCTGGGACCCGGGCTAGCCCGAGGCGCGGCGCTCCCCGGCGCCCCCTCACGCCCGCCTCTCTCCTCCGCTCTCCTCTCCCAGCGGAGGAAGTTCCTGCAGATGAAGCGCAGGAAATACGGCTTCATCTACAAGACGCATCTGTTCGGGCGGCCCACGGTGCGGGTGATGGGCGCCGACAACGTGCGGCGCATCTTGCTCGGGGAGCACCGGCTGGTGTCGGTCCACTGGCCCGCGTCCGTGCGCACCATCCTGGGCTCCGGCTGCCTCTCCAACCTACACGACTCCTCTCACAAGCAGCGCAAGAAGGTGAGGGCGGGGGTGGCGGGGCCTGGACGGGGAGGGGGACCCCAGCGGCTGGAGGGGTTCTAGGAGATAGATGCCGGGCGAGCGCCAGCTGCAGGAGGTGACCCGCTCGAGGCCACTTTAGCCGGGAAGTGCCCTGCGTCTGGCGGGGGTGGGGATGGCTGGAAGGGGATCCCGGCAGGCGAGGGGGGCGCTTTTAACACTCTCCCTCCTCGGAGCTCAGGTGATTATGCGGGCCTTCAGCCGCGAGGCGCTCCAGTGCTACGTGCCGGTGATCGCCGAGGAAGTGGGCACTTGCCTGGAACAGTGGCTGAGCCGCGGCGAGCGCGGCCTCCTGGTCTACCCCCAGGTGAAGCGCCTCATGTTCCGCATCGCCATGCGCATCCTGCTGGGCTGTGAGCCCCGGCTGGCGAGCGGCGGGGACGCCGAGCAGCAGCTGGTGGAGGCCTTCGAGGAAATGACCCGCAATCTCTTCTCGTTGCCCATCGACGTGCCCTTCAGCGGGCTGTACCGGGTGAGGGAGCGTGCAGGGTGAGGAGCAGGGGGCGCGGGGGCGCGGGGGCCGGGCCTCTGCTCACTGCCGTGCGCTCTCTGCGCTCAGGGCTTGAAGGCGCGGAACCTCATCCACGCGCGCATAGAGGAGAACATTCGCGCCAAGATCTGCGGGCTGCGCACGGCCGAGGCGGGCGGCGGCTGCAAAGATGCGCTGCAGCTGTTGATCGAGCACTCGTGGGAGAGGGGAGAGAGGCTGGACATGCAGGTGAGTGGCGACTTCAGGAAGGGGCGCTGCGGGATTTGGTCCCCTGGCTTTCCAAGCGCGGTTACCCCAAAGCGCACGTCCGGCCTCCAGAGTGGGCAGGCCGCCCAGACACCGGGGATGGGACCCGGAAGGTCGGGACACTGGGTCCGGAGAGCCGTGGGAGAGGCTGCGGCGGAACAGGGAGCGTCCCCTAGCCCGACCAGGTTTTACAGGGCAAGTTGGAATTTGCAAAGTGTAAATAAAGAATGTTGGGCGATTTTAATACAACCAAGGCTTTCATTCAAGAATTCCCTGTGTCGTGAGATTTTACTGGCTTTCCTGCTCTAGCTGAACTAAAGGGACTATGCATTCTGTTTAAAAAAATGTAACTTCCCTTGGCTTTCTGTCAGTAAACTTTCAGCCCTTCTCATCTTCTTTCCAGAACCTTCAGTTCGGTTCTAAGTAATTGCTGGGTAAAATTGCATGCAGACTTATTATCTTACTCCATTCTTAGGCACTAAAGCAATCTTCAACGGAACTCCTCTTTGGGGGACATGAAACCACAGCTAGTGCCGCCACATCTCTGATTACTTACCTCGGGCTCTATCCCCACGTTCTCCAGAAAGTTCGAGAGGAGCTGAAGAGTAAGGTAGGGGGACACCGGGGTTCACTATCAGCTTAAGAAATTCGGCTGCTCCCTGGCCAACTTGCCGATATGTAAGTGTGCTGCCTTCTCTGCCTATTTTGCAAAGTGCAGGGCCCAGCGCTGGGTGGGCGGGTGGGGAGAGAAAATTAGCTTTGTGAATAAAAAGGAAGGAACTTTGAGCTGCGGTCCCACTCAGGCGGGGCTTGGTCCTTGTATTCCTACCCCGACTCCACTTTTTGCAGTACGTTGGAGATTTTCAGATAGATTCCACTCTCTTGAATTTATGTGTCCAAGGGCATGAATGGGGGACTCCTAAGTGGTGGTGATGGGGGCGGGGTGCGGGGGGAGAATCTAGGTGGTTCTAAGTGAGGAGCAGCATTCTCTTGGAATTGTAAATAGATAGTGGATTTGGGCCAAGGGGTGGAGGCAAATGGTCATTAGCTGCTCACAGTTTCCCCCTCACCCTCTCCCATCATGGGGCCCTTTGGGTCTAGCCGCCACTTAAGCCCTGTTTACGTCTGCTGGGCTGATTTTATTGGAGCACAAAATAACCGTTCACCTCCGTATGACTGTTTTGATAGGGTTTACTTTGCAAGAGCAATCAAGACAACAAGTTGGACATGGAAATTTTGGAACAGCTTAAATACATTGGGTGTGTTATTAAAGAGACCCTTCGCCTGAATCCCCCAGTTCCAGGAGGGTTTCGGGTTGCTCTGAAGACTTTTGAATTAAATGTAAGTTAAAAGTTCTCTTCCCGCCACACACACACACACACACACACACACACACACACACACACACACCCGCCACACTCCTTTTGTTGTGGTTTTAAATCTCCCCTTGGCTTCCCTGCGCAGTGGCTTACATTTCGTATACTTTTGATACCATTATCCTGCCCCATGTGGACACGTGTTTCGGTAGTCTGAAGGTCTGTCTGTCCTGTCTCTCTCCTCACACCCCTTTTTTTCAACTCATAATTCCTCCCATTATCAGTGATGGCTTTTTTTGTTGTTGAAAGTTAGGATTCCCATTTGTCAGCCCTGGGGGGCCTCATAATCTTTTGCAGGGCTACCAGATTCCCAAGGGCTGGAATGTTATCTACAGTATCTGTGATACTCACGATGTGGCAGACATCTTCACCAACAAGGACGAATTTAATCCTGACCGATTTCTGCTGCCTCACCCCGAGGATGCGTCCAGGTTCAGCTTCATTCCATTTGGAGGAGGGCTGAGGAGCTGTGTAGGGAAGGAGTTTGCAAAAATTCTTCTCAAAATATTTACAGTGGAGCTGGCCAGGCATTGTGACTGGCGGCTTCTAAATGGACCTCCTACAATGAAAACCAGTCCCACCGTGTACCCTGTGGATGATCTCCCTGCGAGGTTCACCCGTTTCCAGGGGGAGATCTGATGGGTTCGAGGGCCCAGAACTCATACCTATTTGAAGTGTACATGAGTTTTTACACAGTGTCATGTTGATTTTATTATATTTAATTTCTAAATGTATATTATAATATTTATGTGTCTCCACTACAGTACCACCGTCTTTAAATATTAAAATAATGAATTTGGATAGTTTCCAAATAAAGTAAAATCTGAAGGTGTTTGTCTTGCATTTAAGATTCCTGTGGGGGGGGGGGAACTCCCTGGTTTTATATTTGTATATTTAACCTGATTTCGAAGTGTCTACATGAATGGCTTTATTTGTTATCTGTGCATATCTATTTTCTTGTGAGGAAGAAACTTTAGCTGTTATTTCTCTTAACCATTATTAGAAAACATAATGTATGTGTGTGTGTGAGTTAGTCCAAAGGTAACTTTGCAAATGTTTCTATGGTTTAGATACCCTATTTGGAAAATCTATCAAAGTGAATTTTAGATTTTTTTTTTTTTTTTGCTTGCTTTGCTTTAGGGAAAGATGGATTTGAAAAGGTAATACTTTGAGAACTATCATACTCTAACGTAACACCTTCAGCCATAAACTTATTATGTTTAATAAACATAATAAATCCATGTTGTTGCATAGTGCCAGCCCTGTTTTTCTGAAGGATTCAGGTAAGAGAGAGCTGGTCACTCTGATTACGGACAGTTATTGACCAAAATGAGACCAGAGGTTGCATGTGAAAACAGTATTGGAAGAGGCCAGCCTCTGGTTTAGATAAGCTAGTCCAGGTTTTCTTTATTGAAAATAAGGCAGGAGGAGTAGATTTAGCAAGCTGACAGATAAAGTTTTTATCTATGCCAGGCAATAGGGTGTGAGCCTGACATGACTGATAAAATGGCCCAGTCATGACCCTGTGAACCTTGGCTAACCTCCGGGAAAGCACAGTTTGGTCACATTTCTGACCCTGGCATAGCCATGTTCTGAACTGAAGGCCAGACTCCCAGTGCAGAAAGGTTAGCCCCGGTGACTTGCTTACGCTAGCACATTTTCAGTTTTGGAACGGCACAATCTGCTTCCTGAACCTCTGACGGCTTGTAGGTTTTGGACTTTAAAGTTTTCATTACAATTTTAGAATTTGGCAAATACTGCAGAAACTGGGTGGTCTAAATAGGTGTTTGAAAAGGGTTCTCTGTCTACAATTAGAGTTACATGTTCTACCTGACTTTTGGGGAGAACTTGGGATTGTACTTATTCCTAGAATCCTCTGATTTTTAAAGGGTGTTTACATAATAACTTAAAATGTCTTATAATGCTTTTATTTTTTAATGAGAAATTACAGGCTTATTTAGTTTCAGCCAAAGCTTTAGTGCACCTTGGTGTGCAAGATGACCCCTCCCCTCCTAACATTTGCCCCAGATGCTTCCAGCTAGGAGCACATTAGCCTGAGGACATTATCTCAGGTAATTTTAAAGAGGCCATTTTATAGGGTTTCAGTATCTTTCATTTTGCCAGAGGACAGTTAAGCGTTTTAAAATAACATCTTCGGTGACTCCCTGACTGCGTGTCTCTGTGAGCATCTGCAGAAAAGAATTGGGATCATTTTAGCCTAGAATTCAATTTCTTAAATCCACCTCTATTTTTTATCTGGGGAGCTTTGAGGAAAGTGCTTCTGGCTTGCATTTCCCAGGTTACATTTCGCCCAATTATGCTCATCGATTACAGAGTAGGGCAGAATTTACCTTGCAAAGTCGTTAAAAACACAATCTCTGATAATGCGCTTCGTGCCGAGTACAGGCCGTTTGGAAGTGTTTCGAGTGCGACGCAGGAGCCATGTTTGTGGGCTTCCATGTCGAACACTCACTAGGCCTGGGTCACGTCTAGCTGGGGCAGGCAGGCACATTTTGTGACACAGACACCGCTGGGTCAGTGTCCGGGCGTCACCCTGCGGAGAAGCATTTCAGGAGGAGGTAGAACCGGCCCGAGGTCCGGAAGGAGCATAGAGCCCTGTAAGGAGCGGAGAGCCCTGTGAGGAGTGGCTCTTTGAGGCTTCCTGCGGCGTGCTGGGAGGGCACTGTGCTCTCCGGGGCCTTGGTGGGCCTGCCACGCTGGCAGATCGGTGCCCTCTGCCTCCCGCTCCTCATATGCCCTTGCCCTGGCCACCTGCCATCCCCTCCTGTCCTCAGTCAGCGCTGTGGCGTCGCCAATGACAGACTCTTGTCAGTCCTGGCAGGTGAAAGCCTCCAGCCGGGTCTCCAATGTAGGAGCATTCTGAGGGATGCCGCCTTCACCCAGTCTGGCCCTGGGAGGTCCAGTGAGGGACTGTGGCTTGCCTGGGCCCACCCAGGGAGTGGCAGAACCAGGAAAGGCCTCCTGTCGCCTTTTTTTTTTCCCCTTTCTTTTTTCAATAGCTAATCACACCTGCCTGATTTATCTCCAACTTTCTGTTGTAGGACAACTAGACCCAGGGGTCTTCACCTCCTAACTTCCTGTTGTGTCCCCCGCTACCACTCCCCTGCCCTGGGACAGTCCAGATCATCCCTCTCACAGGCTGCCAGAAGCAACTGGTAAAATGGGAGCAGGGACGGGAAGCGGCTACTCCCCCAGACCCCTCATCTGTGAGGTTTCAGGGTGCTCTGTGCACCTGCCACCCCCCAGAGGTCCACAAGGGGGCGGGCTTCTCCCTTCTATGCCAAGCTCAGGGCCCAGTGGTTTTCCCCACCAGTGTCCGTGAAATCCAGCATCCACGGACTCTAGCCCAGGGCCGGCTTTTACCCAAGAACAAGGAGAGGCTAGCAAGTACTCAGCCTCAGGCCCGGTCAAGGCTGCCTGGCTCCCCTGGAAGCTCGCCGGGCTGCGTAGGTCTGGGTCATCATTTAGTTCCTGAAGTGGCCACCATCTGTGGTCTCTGAGGCCAGCTGGTTCAGGTTTCCAGCGTTGCCCACAGACGGCCCACAATCTGACCTACATTGCTCTCAGTATCTCTGAAAAGTGGCTCTCCGTTTTGAGAAGGGGGGAGCACGTGTTTCGAAGGACACGGGCAGTGTCCAGATGACCTTAACCAGGTCCGGGAGCCATCCCACAGAAGTACCATGCAAGGAACGAGGGATGTTTAAAGAGGTTTGGGTGGCCCCGCCTTCAAATAGTTCAAGGGTTGTTGCAGAACATACAGGTTCAGGCCTGTTTCAAAGGACAGAGCACGCTCGCACTTAGGAGGGTAAGTTAGAAGGAAGAAGTCAGCACCATATAAGGAAAACATTTTGAGGCAACTAGAGCCCTTCGGTGATGACACAGGTTACCTTCCGAGCAAGCAAGCTCCCTGTCAGTGGAGGCATCCAAACAGTAGCTGGAAAACTAACCCACCCTCAGGATTCCGACATGGAGGGAGAGGTCCGGTTAAATGACCCCCAAGTTCCTTCACAAAATTAAAGAGTTGTGATTCTCTGACATTTGATTCTGTATTAATTCGGTTCCCCAGACACGCACTCTGCTTTGCAATGCGGATTAAATGCAGTCTAGGGAGACAGGACACTACCGCATCATCCTTCAGGGGCACTCGGCAGCTCTCGTTGACCATTCTGGCAAACCCCGGAGCCAGATGTGAAGGCGGGAGCGCAGGGGGCCTGCCGTGTGACCTCACGGAGACGCTGAGTCCCCGGTGTTGATGGTGTTGATCGCTGGGGACGACGCTCTCTCCTGCCCCGCAACCAGGCGCTTCCAGCTCCAGCTCCCCGACCTGCTCCAGCAGCCCCAGCTTCTCCCCGCTGTGCCATGCTGGCCATCCGCCTGACCTAGCTTCTAGGGGAGTCCCTGCCGCTCTCCCCAGGGCTCCCCAGCCTCCTCGAGGCCACGCGCCGCCACCGGCCCCTGCCCAGCTGTCCTCGCCCTCAGCCTCCCGAGAGCCGGCCCGAGGTAACAACTGTGTCTCATCATTGCAAACTGAGCCCCCCTCCTGGGCCCCCCGGCCCTCCCCCAGAATGCGCGCACGCGTAGTAGGTGTTCTCTGGGAGCGAGCGCTTCCTGGGGCCAATCAACACCGGCCACCGTATGGCTCTCCAGCTTTGCGGTGCCATGTTTCTTCTTTGAAAAGTGAAACTTTCATCCTTGGAAAATCTCAGCGGCCGCAAGCTTACACGGCTGTGGTTTAACAGAATGTCACATTCCTGAAACCGACGCTTCATGGGTATTAGGCCAAACAAGCTTTCCTTCTTTTGAAGTAGAGTCAGTTCGAGTTAGAAACCTGGAACAGGGTGGAAACTCAGCCCAGGATTACGTGGTGGGCTTTCTGGGTGAGAGTTCTCGTGTTGCAACGCTCAGCACCCTGCCCCCGCGGCGCAGAAGCTGACCCCCACGGCGGATTCTCACCACTGCCGAGCCCCTCTGTGTCCGTGGAGGGCTGGGAAATCTACTCCCTCGCTTTTGACCATAGATGCCTCAAGATTTTTATCTGAAGTTACTGACGGGTTCACTTAACTCAAATGCATTGTAAAAAGAGGACAAGGTGCTTTGCTTGTAAGAAGTACTTGACAAAGCGTATGAACTGATTCATTAAACACAGCCCTGGTGTCCAATGTAACAGCGGCTTATTTAACGGTGGAGGAGGGGATTGGGTATTCTGAATGAAATGGAGAGTTCTTTTAATGTCAATTAGTCACGGACTTTTAGAGCTGGAAGGGAGAGGACGCACCGGTCACGCAAGCCCCTCAGTGTACACCTGAGAAATCTGAGGCTCAGAGGAATTTAAAGTCACAACAGAGAATTAGGATTGGCGGCCCAGCGTTCAGTGCATTGTACGGTTAGCCCTCTATTTAAAGAACTGTATTGTTTATTTACATATGTGCCGGGGAAAAAGGACAGGTGAGCAGATTCTTTGAGATCCAATTGCTTCCAGGTTCTTGCTCCTCACCATGTCTCTGAAGGTGCCTGGGCCCTCAGAAGCACCCTGAGAACCTGCGAGGTGTGGCCGCCGAGCATCTGACACGCAGCCTGGCAGAAGGTACAGACGGCTGGCATTTCTGGGGCACAGCATTGGGGGCACTGTCTGCACGTTGGCAGAGCCAGATCCTCGGGCATTTTGAGTCTTTCCTACTGCACAGAAGAAAATGGTTTCTGTTATCGTTAAACTGTATTCCCCCACCCTCCTGCTCAAATATGAAGTCCTAACCCTCAGTAAGTGCATCAGAATGTGACCTTAGTTGGACATAGGGTCTTTACA